TGTCTGATTTCTGGCTCGGGCCACTCTGCTACTGAAAATCTTCAGTCCCATTTCCCCCTGCTCCCTCCAACCCCAACCCCAGAGCCCGTTCCTTCTCTAACCTCTCCCCTTAGCCACAGAAACCACAAGCCCCTTGCACCTGCTCGAGAAGCACCTGGGGCTCTCGGCTACATCCTGCAGCCACTGTTTTTCTGTAGGCCACTAATATTTTATTCTGAAACTAGTCATATAATTTACAAAATGTACTTGCTTCTAAACCTGGAACAGGTAGTCAAACAGGGGGACTTCATCTTTGTATCCGGACTACCGGTACATGTTTCACATTGTTTCAGTTCCTACAGTTTTTGATTTTCACTTCCACCTTAATTGTCATTTTATTGATTTGATTTATATTTTACCACACCTACATGTTATATCTGTTGTTTACTGTTTGCACACTTCTAAATCAGATGTACATACAGCTAAAAAATGAATTGGCATTCATGGGTTTCTCTGTCCTGCAAGCTCCTAAAATACAAATATTTGGGGGCTTTGTTGACATCAGTGTAATATTCTGTAAATTACAGTTACTTCTTGGGAAAAAAAGTCTTATCTGGCTCCGATATTACAAGCCCTTACTGATTTTTAGATGTCAAAGTAGTTGGTAACCCGAACATGGAGAGTCTGAAAGGTGCGATTGAAAGCGCTGTTCCTTTAAATAGTGGCGGGCTGCCCCTGCTGCCGCTGGGCTGGAGACCCCGTGCTGGCACTCTGAGGGGACCCAAGATGGCGGAGTTCTGATTGAGGGAACTGTAATTATAAAATAAAACTGGGAATTAAAGAGAAACTGTAGTCGTGCGTGGGGGGTTCCGTATAAAGGGAGTTCAAGTAATATTCCGGTTGAATTTATTTAATTTTTAAATGTGTTCAGAATTGTGGGGAGAGGCTAGTCTCTCTCCGCGGCCCGAGGACAGAACATGGCGGAACGCTAGGGAAGGGGTATAAATAATAGAAAATAAATATAAAAACAGCCGGCTGCCTTTAAAATTAAAGATCCGGACACGTCCTTTCGCGGAAATAATGCAGTCGATCTCGCATGCGGTTCTGTATGAAGCGTTCATTGTTTCCAAGAATGAGAAATACGCGCAGATAAGGGCTGTCGACAACACCGATTCTCCAGTCGTGCTCTGAACATTTTCTTTCCCTCTCCTTCTGCCGAATTTCGTTGGTGGCCTCCTTGTGCAGCCGGGGTTATATCTCGCTTTCTCTTTCTCTTGTGCAGCGGGAAGGGCAGTGTTTTACAGGGTTGCGCAACTTGAGGTAAAATGGCGAAAGCGTCCTGAAGCCCTCGGTAGCAAGGCCGCCCTCCCGAGCTGGGCGAGTGTGCGCTGTAGTAGGCTAGCCGTCTGATCGCCCTGACGGGCCGGGCTAAGGATCGGAGACCGAGGGTCCGACGCCTCTGGGGTGGACGACGAAGCGTGTTTTCGGGTGTGAACAGCGGGGTGGGTTAGCAGAATGACGGACACTCGGCGACGAGTGAAGGTTTACACCCTTAACGAAGATCGGCAGTGGGACGACCGGGGCACCGGGCATGTGTCCTCCGGCTACGTGGAGAGATTGAAAGGCATGTCCTTGCTAGTGCGGGCCGAGAGTGACGGTAAGTGGCCAGTAGCTGCCCCCCCCCCCAAAGTAAGGTTCTGTTAACAGGTTTTAGTGCTCGCTTGCAGACCTGGGTAAAGTTTCGATCTGGTTTTAAGCGCCGCTGGTGCCTGAAAGTTGCGCGGATACTTGTGTAAACACGTCGCCTGGCTTTTCCCTTAGTAAGCAGTGATTTGATTTGTGCTTTCGAGGTCTTAACCGAGACAGCTCTACAAATCAGGGGGATGTAACGCTGGGCGAAAGCCGCACAACATGTATGTCTTTGTATTGTTTTAGCAGGGTTAGGGTTCGATCACTAGATGCAGCCTTGCAGATAATGGGGGTGCATGCCGAGGATCATTGAGTTTCCAGTGTCCTGCTATTTAGTGCGATTGCCGTACTTAATGCCCTCTATAGTTGTCCACCCCTACGTACACAAGTACAAAATTACACCTTTCATCTCCTTATTAACGTGTGATTGCACAACAAAGGCGTCATAGATTCTGATTTCCAGGTTTGAGTAAAGATACAAGGATTTGCACAAAACCAATCATTTATTTCAGACTTGTATTTGAATGCATCATCTATTGTGTCCAGGTATTGACAGAACGAGGTCCGAGAGCCTCATAAATACTGAATCATGTTTGTATTGTCCTGAAGAGTTGTGCCTGCAGCTCTTATAATGTAGACAGTCTCTTATTGAACGTGCAGTGTTGGATCTTCGGTAACAGTATCGAAAACGCAACGTTAGATTAAAAAAAATCCTCTAAACGTGCTGCTTGAAAGTGCTTGTTTTCAGTCCGCTGCTCGGCTGCTCGTCCTGCTGCGCTCCTGCAGCTTGTTCAGCCTGTAACCTGTTGGAAGTTGAAGGAGTTGCACCAACTCGTCCGAGCGCCATACCAGTTGGACCGGAATAATAACTTTTCATCAGTTTCTCGTTCTTTACTGATCATTTTGACATTCTAGACCTTGTTTTTTTGTTCTTAAGCTATTGAGTTACATCCAGAGGTACTGATTTCAGATTCTTCTAATCGTCTTATCAAAGCTTCTTATATTCGTGCAGGATGAATTGTAGTACTGCCTAAGGTTGTCTGTCATTGTGTCTACAATTAGAGCATGCGATTTTAGTTTTTATGTATTACAAATGGCAGCACAGCTAAAATGTGCTAGAACAATTTGTACATTTAATAGTACAGTTTGCAGTCTTTAATTGTTAACAAATTAAAAGATCGGCCTTAGATTTTTTTAACTTGTACAGTATTTTTTATTATTTGCTCTTCCAAGTCCTAAAGTTGAAAAAGAACAACCTTATGTGGCACTAATGCTCCAGTCTTTTCAAGGAATCTGGTTAATTGTGTAATGTAAAATGCCATGACACCTTGGGCCGTCTCTTGTGTTTTTTCTCATTTTTAATAGGTTATTCCTTAATTTTAAAACTGCATTTGGGGTTCCATTTCATCAACACAAGTGGAACATTGCAGGTGTTACTTAAATTTAATTTTGGTAGGCAAGGAGTGAATATACCTCACCCTTTGTTGAATGGAGTGGTTGCTTTTCTGAAATCAGAAGTAATTCATTTTGTAACATTAATTTTAAAAGTATTGAGATGATTTTGATGGCATGAAAATGTTTGCCACCAATGGGTAACAAGCTCATGGAGACTGGTGATTGAATTGTGTGCACTTTTCCCAGTATTTCGGAAAACTAAAATGTTTGCACGAGTGACAAAGGAAATATTTTTAACTTTTCTGTATTCAGTTTATGCTTTGATACATTAGAAAACAAGTTTTGTTTACATCAAAGACATGATCTGCAATTCCTATCTATAGGCCATTCATTGTTAAAAGTGCTGAAGAGTAGCTGAGACAGGTGTGACATAGACTGCATTCTTATGCTGTGCCAGTTTCCTACCCCTGTTCTTGGACTGAGGACATGGCCAACTGCAGGGCCCTGTGTCAAGATGAAATTGGAAGCACTCTGTGATTTACGCATGGCAAAGGGATAAAGATATCGACATTGAGTTAATAAATTGCACTGAATTCTTTCATTTTACTCTTTATTAGGTACCAGTGAACACATTATGTAATGTTGCTTTTTTTTGCAGGTTCTCTTTTGTTGGAGTCAAAAATAAACCCTAACACTGCTTACCAGAAGCAGCAGGTAAGTTTCTTTGAAAGTGTAACTTTTTAAAGTCTCGGTTCTTTAGATTTTAAGTGTTGACGCCTTAAAGAAAATGCATATTAAATGTATTGTAGTTTATTAATTTGGTTTTAAATTTAAATGAATATGCTTTGTATGATTTCAATGATATTTGTAATATTTTCAATTTTTTGTATTGTGTACTAAATTTAAGCAAAGTTTGTCCCTTAAACTCATACATGCAGTTGTATGTTGAGACCTAAGTTAGAAATAGTGCTGTATAGATTACAGATTGATCACTTTATTATGGAAGTAAGGAGCCATTTTTTAATAATTTACCAAGCTATGTGTTCCAAAACTGCTGGTTATTGTTACATGATTCCAGTCCCTTTTTAATGCATTTTAATGTTTAAGGGCAACTATTTTGTCTCCACAGGACACATTGATAGTTTGGTCCGAAGCAGAAAACTATGACTTGGCACTTAGTTTTCAGGAAAAAGCAGGGTGTGATGAGATATGGGAAAAGATATGCCAGGTGAGTTGAATCAATGCACTCACTTCATCCTATACAGTTCAGCAAACTCGTCTGATTTAATGATGCACACTGTTTTGTGCTTCTGCAAGTGAAACCAAAATGGTTTAAATTGCCAAAGACTCGGAAACTGTAAAGGCTGCTAGTGACATGCAGTTGTGTGTTGAGGTTGAATCACGCGTATACAGTGTATATAACTGATCGGAGACAGGACATGAAGGATACCACTAGCTGGGTGAACTGCACTGACGTCAATTGTAAACCATACTAGGCTTACACAACTGGACTCATTTTCTACAGCAGCAGTAAAAAAATCATCTTCAATTATATTGTGTGGGTCACTTTTTTAATTGATGCAACATAGTTGGCGCAAATTGTGGTTGTAATAGTGTTGAGGCTTTTACAGTAGTGGATATGTTAATATAGTAATACAGTAGTGGAATGATTAAATTGTTCCAGAATATTTTTCTAAAGAACTTTATTGGATTTTCCTAAATTAGCTAGGTCTATTTATTTTCTGCAGTTATATTTAAAGGTCATTTCGAGATTCAAATAGGGCCTTAACAATAGTATAACTTCTGCACTGCTTTGTTTCCATTTTATGCTTACAGAAAGATGTAGTCTCCTGAAATTAAATGAATTAACACATACATATCTTACATTGTGTCAATTGGTCAATTGTAAATGTTTGCTAATGTTTGAAGTGATTATAGAACAAGCCTTGTCATACTGACTTTTCTTTCTAGTTCCTGCTGCACCTGAGTTCTCAGTTGCAGAAAGTCTCAACATTTCTTGAAGCTATTTAAAATATTTTTCTTATCTACAATTAAGATAACTGAAGATAAGTCTTAATTAGCTGAATTAAGGTTTCAGTTAAGTAATTTGGACCTCTGCTGGACTATCAACCATAAGGCATTCAGGTGGCTGGACTTGAGTATGGAGTCCTATCTGGAAGTGTATTTACGGAGGGATAGTTGCATTCATTTTTCTTCTTTAAATGAAAGGATGGAGAGTATTAAGCCTCTTAGGATTCTGTGTTGTAAAACCGATCCATTGCTTGTGTTCTGTTAGGTTCAGGGCAAGGATCCATCGGTGGACATCACCCAGGAGCTGGTGGATGAGTCCGAAGAGGAGCGCTTCGATGACATGTCCTCCCCTGGCCTTGAGCTGCCTCCCTGTGAGCTGAACAGACTGGAAGAAGTGGCAGAACTGGTAGCCTCATCCTTACCTTCCCCACTGAGACGTGAGAAGCTAGCTTTGGCCTTAGAAAATGAGGGTTACATCAAGAAACTCTTGGAACTCTTTCACGTATGTGAGGACTTGGAAAACCTGGAAGGATTGCACCACTTGTACGAAATTGTAAAGGGAATTTTTCTCTTGAACCGAACTGCGCTTTTCGAGGTCATGTTCTCCGAGGAATGTATAATGGATGTAATAGGCTGTCTAGAGTACGACCCCTCGTTACCCCAGCCAAGGAAACACAGGGAGTTCCTGACAAAGACAGCAAAATTTAAAGAGGTGATTCCCATCTCAGACCCAGAACTCAAACAGAAAATTCATCAGACGTACAGAGTACAGTACATTCAGGATATGGTCCTTCCCACACCTTCTGTCTTTGAAGAAAACATGCTGTCAACTCTTCACTCCTTTATCTTTTTTAATAAAGTTGAAATTGTTGGAATGTTGCAGGTAAGTTTTCCCCATTAAGCAATATAAACACTGTCCAATTTTTGGATTTTCCTTCACTGATGTCAACATGGGAACATTACTCTTTTTAATTTGGGAAATTAGTTGTACTTGGTTCCTGGAGAAAGTTTACGTTTAGATTGTTTGTTGTGGCTAGTGATGTTTTTCTAACTGTGCACAGCTGAACTGTGCCTCATGGTCTCTGTTTTTTTTTTTCTTTATTCGCCTGGACGTAATTCCAAAATCTTGATATTCAACAGCAAGGGGGAGGATAAAAGTAAATTATGCTTTATGTGAAAATGCTTTATTTTGGAAGAATCCAGTGATGCAGAACTACAGCAAATTATTTACCTGACGTTAGTAAGTATATTATAGATTAGAATTAAAAGAATGCAGAACGTTTACAGTTTGGTTTTGGTTGTACAGATCTAGTGCGAAACTCACAAACATGATTTTCCCCTTTCAAACAAGTTAAAAAGTATATTGCTAAATATTTCCCTTTGCAGTAAATCTACCTTAAATGTTGTACACCTACAGTACCACGTGGTATTTTAAACCGTCTTCAGTAGGTGTGAGATGAGTTACTATAAACAGCGAGGAGCTATCTTTGGCAGGTACATTTGAAGAACCATCATCATGACTCACAGTAGAGTGGGTAGAGAGATGTAATAGGCTGCTACTTGGCATCATTGAAGTTACAGTTGAACTGGAAATTACGTTTTTTTTACTAAATTTAGCTTTTAAAAATGTAAAGTTTCGGATCTTTCACTTTAAATGGAAGAACACTTTCTTCCCTGTCTCCTTGATTATTGGTTAAAAATCAGGGGATCTGACTTGCTAGCATTTCTGTGGCAGTGAACACAGTATTTTAATATTGAAACATCTGTGAATCTTGAGGTGACCAGGGAAGCAATTATATGAGCAAACCTTCTAAAACTTCCAAAGGTTAAAAGTCAAGAATGCTACAGCCACTTTTAGAATTCTATTTTATTAGATTTTGCAACTGCAATTTTTTGCCCATTACTCTTGTTTTTAGTGGTTTACTTAAATACTTCCATTCTTTACACTGCAAAGAGGCAAAGTGTTTTCTCCAGGGGAAGAAAAATCATTTTTTTCCCCACAGTGTGTTTCTCAGTGCAGGCAGAAGGAATGTGCTATCAGTGTGAGGATTAAATAACTACCATATCATGCAGCATTCAGCTGGTGTCAAGGATTAATGGCAAATCAATAGCCACACAGAAATCGACGCCATCAAACCCTGACACACACTAACTCATTTACACATCACCATTGAGAGCTTCAGACACCGATAGCCTAGCATGAGCCAATTCAGTCTCGGTGTAGATGGTAGATGTCATCCTATAGTATTGTTAGAGACTTTCTCTAAAACTGCCCCATGTGTAAATAAGATATGAATGTTGTTTATGATGAGGTGTCCAGTATGTTTGAAATTTTTGTATTTTTAACATTGTTAAACGCATACTTTTTACTATCGCTCTTTTATTGTATCTGATGGTTTTCACGTATGGTCTGGATTTTTTGCATTTGCATGCCTTGTAGAATGTGATTAGGTAATTGTTCATGCTCATGATGCCAGTGAGAACTTGTATATTACTCATGATGGATGTTATTAAAATAATAAGATGTGTTGCAGTTTTGAGTGCAAGATACTTTAGTAAAGCGATTGAGAGTACTGTATCATCCTCAGCATTTCTTTACTGTTGGTTCTAGATTTTCTTTTTACACATGGTATAAAAAGTGTGTGGAACATATCATAAAATACACAGTAAACAGTTAGGCAGTTATAATGCCGCACTTTTAAAATAATATCACATTTTGTAAACTTGTAATATCCGTAAGTGTAATTATGTGACCCCTCAAATAGATAAATCCACGTCTCCAGCAGCCGGTTGATGTCAGTTTTGTGAAGCACCTTCACCTAGAGTGCCAGAATAAAAACCAAGAAACAAGTGCCTCTTGTAGCAGATTAAATACAATCTAGTACTTGTGACAAGCTGCTGCAATCATAATATGTTCTGTCTGCTTCTCTTGGTATGGACGTGTTGGGTTGTATTCATCACTTGTATTCTTTAAATGAAACCATCAGCTTCTATGAAATGTCTTTGCAAAACCAAATCGTCTAAAAGCAAATGTTCGTACAAGTTTGGAAATAGAAGTTGATGGTGTTATGTTTTTATTAAGCTAATTTGTGCATTGCTTTGGATGATGAGAACAAAGGTTAACTGTGTACCATGAGCCTAGATGATGTGTTGATGTTATATATCGATCATGGTAAAGTACCCTTTTAATGTCTTTCCTGGATTCCAAAGACACAACAGAAGCTGCCATGCTGAAGAGAGACTGCAGCATAAACAGAAAAATAAATTAATTTTATTCATTTCCTTTTCCAGGACGACGAAAAGTTCCTAACAGACCTTTTTGCACAACTAACTGACGAAGCAACAGATGATGATAAAAGACATGAATTGGTAAGAGTGCTTAGATTAATGGTAGCAAAAAGTCTTATATAAAAAATATAATTTGTAAATGAAGGATCTGTAAGTTTTATAATACAGTTTAGAATGATATCTTTAATGACTTGTATGTTTCTCTTTTTATGAAAGCTTATACTTATGACAACATGGCCCAATAGCATTGCTGTGCTTGTAAAATTTTTTAGATATGTTTAAGGTAATAGAAAACATTTACTTCGCTTCGTTTGATTGTAGACATCCGAGTATTCTAAATATTTCATACTTGCTGCACAGTTTTTGTGCGACGTAACCTTTAATTTATTTTAAATGATTTTTTCTTATAGGTAAACTTTCTTAAGGAATTTTGCGCATTTTCTCAAACATTACAACCTCAAAACAGAGACGCCTTCTTTAAAACATTGTCAAACATGGGAATTCTACCAGCTTTAGAAGTCATTCTGGTAAGCAAAAGGCAAAAAAATGAAAACATAAATGTTGTGACTAAATCTCTCTCGTCTGTTTGATATCATTGTAATGTGTATTTTTCCCTGAATGGCTTTGAAATGTTCATTTAGATGTTAACGTTATTTTCTCCTTCTAGGGAATGGATGATGCTCAAGTGCGTAGTGCTGCCACTGATATTTTCTCCTATTTGGTTGAATACAACCCCTCCATGGTACGAGAATTTGTAATGCAGGAATCGCAGCAAAATGATGATGTAAGTGGTTAGTGGTTGTGACCCACTGCAGTTTTATATTTCTCTTTAAGCAGTCGGTTAACTAATATCTTTATTTAAACTGCTAATGCTTTATTTTCTGTGAACTTTGTAATGTCAGCTGAACATTGTATTGATGCCAATTTTCTAAACACTGATACTGATTACATTATATATTTAATCCTATTGCATGTTCTTTGTAAGTTTGTTGCTGCACAATGAGGTGAGCAATATAGCAGAATGTGATGTTTTACTGACTGGATTGGGTAGTTATAAGTTTTTAATTTTTATTCTCATGCATAACACCCATTTTATTTAAAAAAAAAAATCATTTTTGTTTTTTTTGTCTCCAGGACATTCTTCTAATTAATCTAATCATTGAGCACATGATCTGTGACACTGATCCAGAGCTCGGGGGTGCGGTGCAGCTCATGGGCTTGCTTCGAACTTTAGTAGATCCAGAAAACATGCTAGCCACCGCCAACGTAAGTGTGATTCTCTTAATTTGCCCCCTTCTGTAAACATGCATTCTTCATTGGCTTCTGTAGGAAAGCTGCCTTTTCTGAACAGAATTCTTTGACAGTCTCAGTATATGAAACTTAATTTCTGAAGTGCACCCTTGTATATTTGCATGTAGTTTAGCAAATATACAACTGATGTTCTTTTTTTAGTGTTTTTAACTGACTGTCATCTTAATATGTGGGCAACAGGGTGATGCAGTGGTTGGTGTTGCTGCCTTGCAGCACTGGGGCCCCTGGGTGAAATTCCTGACCTTGGGTGCTCTCTGCATGGAGTTTTAAATGTTCTCCCTGTGTTCGTGTGGGTTTCCTCCCAGATTCTAAAGACCTACTGGTAGGTTAATTGGCCTCTGTGGTATAGGACCTGGTGTGAATGTGTCCTTGTGCCCTGAAGTGGACTGTCCAAATGTCCAAGGTGCACCCTGCCTTGTGCCTGTTGCGTGCCAAAATAGGCATGGGCTCCTCCGCGGCCCTAAACTAAATGAAGTGGTTAGAATATGGATGGATGAATCTTAATATGAACAATTTTAAATGTGTAATCTTTGTTTTTTGTAATCAGTTTTAAGATTGATTGAGTTTGTTTTTTCTGCAGAAAACTGAGAAGACAGAGTTTTTAAGCTTCTTCTACAAACACTGTATGCACGTTCTCACTGCCCCCTTGCTGGCAAACACAACAGAGGAGAAGCCCAGCAAAGGTGAGACAACCGCACATAATGGTCAGTACTTTCCTATAATCCTACCAGGTAGACGTCCTGTAGTAGTAGTTGCATCCTCCTTTCTTAATTTGTTTTTTTCTTTTTTACAACTGTGGGACACTTGGAGTGAGTGCATGCAAGAAGGAGCAAGTGTCTGCATTGTTTTCATTTCTTCAATTTTTTTGCATCCACAGAAAATGTAAAATATTGATTCTCGTGTCAGTAAGGTACAATTTCAGCTTACTTATGTAGTTAAGCATGCTTTACATTTTAAACAATTTTTTTCAACATTAACACAAGGTGATCCAACTATGGTCTGCAAGAGCTGGTTTGTCAGCAGTTTTTCTTGGTGTCTTTAAAGCATCAGAACCAGGAGGGCTGGTAGAAGTTAGTAAATTGGTTCAGTGAAACCAATAACGAACTGATATAGGTTATGAGCATAGAATACAATTGTGTCGACACACTGGCTCTCTAGGACAAAAGTAGGACCATCCTGCATTTAAAAAACTGGAAATTAAAAGTATAAGTGTTCATTTTAGTGTGAAGAGCAGAGCAGTCATCTAGATTATAGTGCTTTTAACTATTTAATTAGTTCATATTGTTGTCCTGCATTTTTTATAATGCCTGTATTTTTATTTTTGTTTCTGTCAACCTTCCAGATGATTTTCAGACATCCCAGCTTTTGGCTTTAATACTGGAACTGCTCACTTTCTGTGTGGAGCATCACACCTACCATATCAAGAATTACATAATAAACAAGGATATTCTTAAAAGGGTGCTTGTGCTTATGGCTTCAAAACATGCCTTTCTTGCACTATGTAAGTCTTTTTTTTTGTGAAAAACTGTTTTGGGGAAATTATAGTATCAAACACTTGATCTTTAAGGAACATTATTCTAGATACTCTCTATTTCAGTGTTTTTAATGTTTAATTTAAATTTCAGTCATTTAAGTACTTGCTTTAACGTATTAAGTGATAATTGGCGTCTGCTTTAAACTTTTATCAGTTGTTCCCAAGTGGGAGCAAAGGTTTTGGCCTTTGGCAAGTTTCTGCTCTATGGCCAAATTTTTTTAACTGACTTGACTCCCCCAAGCACTAGGGCACAGTTATGAAAGTGCCACTGTGGTAGTGTGAACACTAATCAAACATGGACCACTTGTGTTGCAGCAACTCCTGTAGTATGCCAGGTGCCTGCAGGCTTCTGCTGGTTCTCTGTGAAGCTTGCAGCCTTATAAGTGACAAATATTTCTATAAGCAGATATAGAAAGGTTCTATAAGGACCATTCTTGTGTGCATGATTCTATCGAGAGGGACAGGAGTTGTTGAATGACTGTTAAAAAGTGGTTTGCATTTCAAAATTGGATAGATATAATAAAAATAATGATTTTGTTTTTTTTAAATATCAGATCAGAAATGACCAATTTTCCCCTTTCTTACAATTACAATATAGTTAACCAGTTGTTAAACTGCAACTTGTGCTAATCTGGTATAGTACTTAAAATTGTAACAACTGAAAATTCCGTCAAATTACCTTAAAAAAAACTATAGCTGTTTTATAACTAAAGTACAACTTATTTGACTTATTTTTTCAGGTGCACTTCGATTTATGAGGAAAATAATCGGGTTAAAAGATGAATATTATAACCGCTACATAATGAGAAACTTCTTATTTGAACCAGTTGTGAAAGCTTTCCTCAATAATGGATCTCGTTACAACTTGATGAACTCTGCAATTATTGAAATGTTTGAGTATGTCAGAGTGGTAAGTACAATTCTCCCATTATTTCCTCTGTAATTTCCTGGCAGTTCAGTGTTGATAAGAAAATGGGATCTTAGATCACTTAAATCAGATAAATTTTTGTCTAAAATGGAATATCATTTTATGGTTTTCATTATCAGTTCATCCATCTAAAATTAATTTCACACGTGTTTTTTAAAACAACTGTTCATGCTTTTGAGCAGAGATAACGGGTTTAAATCACTGTCCAGCACGGGGATCCTTCGGCCTCATACTGCTGCTGATACAGCATTAGGAAGGAAGGGAAGGGCAGGAAAAGACTTGTGGACATGTTATGTTACAGATGTCTCGTAGATCTTTTAACTTGTTAAATGGTGCTCGGCAGTAAAGGACAAGAGCATGTTAAGCTATTAACGTATTAGAAAAACATACAGTGCAATTGAATTTATCTGTGAAGATTATACAATGTGTTAAATTGAATAACCTCATCATTTAAAGGTACAGATACAATGTGATCTTGTATTTGTCTTGTTTGTGGTATGTGCTGTTGTGTAGCTTCTCTGTGATAACACAGTAACATCTTAGGCATGCTGAATACAGTGTTTTTATATGGACTTTGGGGGGGATTTTTACAGGAAGATGTGAAGACCCTCACTGCTCATGTGATTGAAAATTATTGGAAGGCTCTTGAAGATGTAGATTATGTCCAGACATTCAAAGGTTTGAAGCTGCGCTATGAGCAACAGAGGGAAAGGCAAGATAACCCCAAACTGGACAGGTAATAAATGTGAAAATTTCAACATTACTGAGAGCTATTTGTGCTGCATAGCAGTCAACATTTTCCTCTTGCCATGTTCTTGAACTCATACAAAGAAAATAGATCACTTTGATATTTCTGAATATAAGTCTTATCTCATTCCATTTTCCTTTCTTTATGCTTTTACATATATTTAATTGATTTTATAGGACAAATGTTTAAAAAAAATACATGGTAATTCTTGCAAAAATTGAGGGATGGGAAATGTAGATAAAAATCATCTCACCAAGCTATCACAATTGTTATGCTGCCAAATGTAATCTAGTTGTACATTTTTCTATAAACAAAATCTGTGCCAGTTATTGGACTACCTGCAATATAAGATCACTCATTCCCATAAAATATAACTTTTGGCTGCAGATAAATCAAAAGATGATGTGCCTAAAGATTGACAGTTACTTGGAAATCAATGGATTAGAAGCAGTTGCATACTCAATAGCACAGTTGTATCCAAAAGCATGTTAGTAATATGCCCAAAAACTCTCACAGGACACTATCGAAGCATATTGGTAGGTATTGGTTAAAGCCTGAGTGGATCTGTAAGAGAGGGTGGGAGCAATTTTCATCTGGAGCTGGCAGCATGATGTTTACACATTCTGTGCGTACTTTGAAATGGATAAGTTGGTGTGCTATCTGTGTAAAGGAGAAATATAGTTTGAGACTACATCCCAATTGAGTACTATCTATTATGTAAAAGGAATAGAAAACCAGACTAAGATACCTGGGAGAGAACTAATTTTAGATGAGATGGTTACATAGATAAGGGACTCCAATGTTATCCTCATGTTTAAAACCAATGGATTAAATGTACTACAGGAAACTTCTGTGGCAGTCAATACCTCTTCATGGTACTTTATCGTAGTTGGAGTAGATGGTGGCCCGCTGCATTATGAAATTATAAAGCAAAAATTAACTTATATAAATAGTTTAAAAGATAGTGAAATTTAAAAA